AACAAAACAAAACAAAACAAAAACAACCCACAAAGCTGCAGTGTCTGTCTGACCAGCAGATGGCGTTGCAGCAGCACTCCGAAGCCCAGCTCCCGAGGGACAACAGCCTGTGTCACTACCCTGTGCTCCTCCTTCACAATGCTAAGAGCAGCAAGAAAACAATTTAAATCGCCTAACATTACATCGTGGATTTGTTCAATAATGGGAATCTGAGATTTTTTTTTTGTGTGAATCATCTTGTCTGTAAGATGCAGACTCTTGCGCCATCTTAGTGCATGGGTGCCATGGTTCTCCCACACCTCACAGCCCCAAACGGAGGCGTTGATCAAGGCTGCTAAAGTCTGTGGATTGGGTGTCAGGCTGGAAAACCTGGGCCATTCTAGCCATTTCTAGACGTTTTCAGTGAAGCTAGGGTTCTCCTGACAATGCGTAGAGATTAAATTGTTGATTTTCTGTGAGGACCTGGGGAACTGAGAAAGAATATGCTGTCTGTAATGACAACACATTTCATAAAAGTAGAGCAAGTTGGTGTGCTGCTTGAAGCCACTCACCTTTCCATGTTTTGAGCTGAGCATGACATGAATTAGGAATGTTAACTGGCTTTGCTTTAATCAGGACTTTTCTTGGCTTAACTAAGATGAGTGGGGTTTTGCTGTTTGATTTCTAGTGACAGTGTTGCCTACAGAATGGTCTACCGCAGAAGTTCAATTTCATGTAAAACTTAACTCCTTTCACACTGTGGGAAGAGCGAGTAATGCAAAAGAGTAGGAACTGCGAGAACTAGCCGGCCTTCCCACTACACTTCTTAGTCCTCCTAGGAGGCAGTTTACTGAGTTCAAACCCTGTGCCAGCAAAAGCATTCAACACTGAAGTTCTGGGATGTCTCCTTTCTCCCTCTGTCCCTGCAGAAACGCCAGCAAAGGCTAGCTCTGCCCGAGGCAGGGGACATGGAGGGCGACACCTGGCAACGGCCTCTGTCAGGCTCTGAATAATCACTACTGAGAAATCAGGAGTCACAAGTGAGTAATAGTTTCTAGATGGCTCTCCACGCTCTAAAGGACAATAGTTCTAAAACCTTAAGAGTCTTAAATGTAGTAAGTGGCATTTGCAAACGTTATTGGAACGAAGCCCCCACGACACTCACTTTGGTAGGTCACACTGGGGCCCATGATAAGTGACAGTGCCTCACTTTTGTTTATGACTATGGTAAAAGAACAAACCAGGCCTTCACCAAAACACCTACAGAATAAGTAGGCAAGTGCAATTTAGAAATTTATGATCATTTTGCCCCTGGTGTTTCCTTTTAGTGTTGCGGACTGAAACAAGAAGGCAGAGATGGTTAGATATCACATAACATAGAACAAAAGGCAGGGAAAATATGGATGAAATATATTGTATAAAAAATTTCTAAATAACAAAACCATCTGAAGAAAAAGAGAAAGAGAAGCTGGGTGGAGTGGCTAACAACGTTTGCCAACTTGACAGGATCTAGAACTCCCTCGCAGACAAGCCTCTGAGGTGTTATCCTGCTTGGGTTAGCTGTGGTGGGAAGAGCCGCTTGCACGTGGACGGTGCCACTCCGTGGGACGGGTTCCTGGGGACAGAAGACTGAGCGTCCCTACTCCAGACTGTGGGCCGACCTGACAGCAGCCTCAGGTACTCCAGGCCTTCTGCCGGAGCTGTAAGCTGAAATAAACCCTTTTTCCTTTGCAGCAGCAGCATGAAAAATGCTCAGGAGGCTAAGGCAGAAAGACTAAGAGTCGGAGGCTAGCCTAGACTACACAGTAAGACTCCATCACACTCAAAGGGAGGTGGGGAGTGAAAGAGTTAAGCAGCTTTAAGACATGCCACTAACTAAAATATATAGACTCTGCCCCATTAATGCCTGAAAGAATGAACACGCCTTCCCCAAGGGCCGTGTTAGAATCCACATTTCTAGACGAGAGGAGACTCCAAGCCCAATTATCCACCAAAATTCTTAAACAAAGACAAAACTAAAGCCAAGAGAACGAGAGAGGCTCCTTGAAGCATGCGCCTACTTGAGCAAAGCCGGAAGGTGACAGAAGACGAAACGCCTTGACATCCGACCCAGAGTTCTGCTTACAAGAGTGAGCTTCAAATTCTATTGTAATGAAGGAATAATTTATTCAGATTTGGCTGAGAAAAGAAAACCTCTGGAAATATGCTTTCACTTATTACTCACAGGCGCTCAATAAATAAACTTTCAAGTAATGTGAATAAAATAATGAGGAAGTCACTCTAAATAAGCATTACCAGCTTTCCTGAACCTAGGGGACATTTAAAATGTGACAGCATCTAAGTTGCTCTTTTCAAGTTCTAAAAGAAGCAAGCAAATCAACAACCTGAAGAATGCAGGGACCTGATGATTTACATAACATCAGATCCAAGAATCTTTTCCAGAACATTCAAACAACTGGCCAAACAGTTTCATTTGAATGCTCTCAGGGACAAAGGACATTTACTTTCACTTAAAAAAAAAATTGTGTGGTGTTTTGCTTGCATATATGTCTATGCACCACGTCATGCAGCACCTGTGGAGACCAGAAGGGGGCATAACATCCTTCTGGAACTTGAGTTGCAACCAGTTGTGAGCTGCCGGGTGGGTGCTGGGAATTGAACCTGGATCCTCTAAAAGAGCAGGCGCGTTCTTAACCACTGAGCCATCGCTCCAGCTCCCAATGCTTAGATATAGAGTCCTAATCACTTAGGCCCCACTCACTCCAGAAAAATCTTCAGACTGTGTGGGTCCTGGGAGTACAAAGAAGAATGGGACATGATACCTGGGAGAACTTGGAGCACAGAAGAGAAACCATGTGGAGATAACCTCAGACTGACAGCAGCAAAGATGAAACAGCCATGTCTTGATCAGGTGAGAGGAAAAGAAACTGGGGAGCCCCGTGGCCCCTTTCTTACTGGCTTTCCCACATTGCTCTAGTAGGTATGCCAAAACAGACTGGAGCGTGCGTTGCCAGCACTACAGTACATAAAGCGAACCAATGGTCTTCTGACGTCAGGTGAAAACTATAGGAAATACAAGAGTGACGTCACACCAAGACTAAAGCTTAGATTCAAATTCCAAACTAAAAAGTCAGCATAATCACTAACAATGGTTGATTCCAATCTGAATCAAATCTTAATGGGGTCCTGCAAAAGAATTACAACTATGCAGCTAAGCAACACAAATTTCTAATTAGAAAATATTCTACTACAAATTTTGAAAGCAATTGTTCTATTAAAAAATGCCCAAAGGATGAAGTTAGTTTTCCTGGTTTCTGGAGTAAAGTATGAAGTCACTGTTTCGTGAAAATTCAACACATTAAAATGTGGACGTTTAGGATTCCATAACAACGTTCATTGATAGGAAGCTTCCCCCCCCCCACACACACACACACTACCAAAATACTCACTAAAGATACAGTTTAGTGGGCTGGAGAGATGGCTCAGAGGTTAAGAGTACTGGCTGTTCTTCCAAAGATCCTGAGTTTAATTCCCAGCAACCACATGGTGGCTCACAACCATTTATAATGAGATCTGGTGCCCTGTTCTGGTGTGCAGGTGTACATGCAGGCAGAACATTGTATAATAAATAAATAAATACAAATGCTTTTTAAAAAGATACAGTTTAGCTGAACAATACTTAGAGTGAAATAGCTCAGATCTTAATTTATAATCTTTCTTTCTGTCTCTTTCTCTCCCTTCCCTCCCTCCCTCCCTCCCTTCCTTCCTTTCCTTTTTTTCTTTTGTTTTTGAGACAGGGTTTCTCTGTGTACCCTTGGCTATCCTGGACTCACTTTGTAGACCAGCTGGCCTCGAACTCACAGAGATCTGCCTGCCTCTGCCTCCCAAATTCTAGAATTAAAGGAATGTGCCACAACTGCCTGGCTATAATGTTTCAATTGTATAAAACTATCAGATGTAAAATAAAGAATTAAATTTTCTTGTGAGTACATATCTTGTGTAAGATCCAAAGCGCACATCACTTTCCTGTGGGTTTCCCATGATTCTGACAGTGTTTCTTTAGCATTCTAGCAGGTGGTAAAAAGAAATGAAGACACTGCCCTGCTCTATGCAGTCTCTTCACAACATGCACACGATTCACAAACTTTGGAGTTTACTGTTTAATATATTTGGTCAACTCTCTATAATTAACAGTAATTTTCATTTCTATGCAGTTCTCATAATTTGAATCATTTGTAGGGTTAGTCTTTAGTCTAAACCGGAGGAAAGATAAACTTGAGAATGGCTCTTGTCCTTAGATTTATTTTAAGCCACTTGGTCATTTAAAAAAAATTTCATTCATTCATTTATTTATTTATTTATCTATTTATTTATTTATTTATTTATTTATTTATTTATTTATTTATTTATTATGTATATAATGTTCTGTCTGCATGTGTGCCTGTGCACCAGAAGAGGGCACCAGATCTCATTATAGATGGTTATGAGCCACCTCATGGCTGCTGGGAATACAAACTCAGGACCCTTTGGAAGAGCAGCCTGTGTTCTTAACCTCTGAGCCATCTCTCTAGCCCCACTTGGTCATTTCTAATGTCTCAGCTTCAAGGGGACATTGTGCACACTGACTGTTCATACAGGCCACAGGGCACTAGTCCCTGTAAGGAGGTATCTGTCAGTGGGAGTGATTGAGAGGGTGAAGGCAGACAGAAAATAGTTACAAATTGCTTTGCGGGCATTTCCTAACTGCACCCTCTCGCCACCACAACCACAGACAGCTAGAATGCACTGCAGACCCAAGAAGACTGCAATGCAGATTCAGCTAGAGCTGAAGGTACAAACATGTTTGCCAGTGCTACCAAAAAAGATCCGAGAAAGATGAGGAGGCAAATAAAGGGGACTTCTGAAGATGGCTACGTCTACAGAGACTTAGTGTCCAAGCTAGGCCTGCAGGAAGGCAAGAATCCAGGGAAACAATTACTTCCACTACCTGTATGCATACATGATCCACTTTCAATGCTTACCTCCAATATTCTGAATTATTATGCTGCCTGCCACCACCACCTATAAAAGAACAAATGTATTCAGAAAAGAGAGGGGCAAACAGTACAAAAACCCAGAATTTTATTAAAATTCAGTAAATAACACAACAAAGACAGATGCATACCTCATGACCAAAGAGATAATGGGAAGAATAAATTTTGTCATCTGTTTATATTTCAGCAGTGGTTCTCAATCTTTCTAACACTGCGACCCTTTAATACAGTTTTTCACGTTGTGGTGACCCCAAACATAAAATCATTTCCATTGCTACTTCATAACTATAATTTTGCTACTGTTATGAATCGTAATGTAACTAAATGAAGTCTTTCTTTAAAACCTCCATAATTAATAAAGATACTTCTGAGCTGGGAGCAGTGTCGTATGCCTGTAGTCCCAGGAGGCTCAGGAGGCTGAGGCAGGAGGATCTTCGTGAGTTCAAAGAGATCTACAAAGCGAGTGCCAAGAGAACTACAAAGTGACAGCCAAGGCTAAACAGAAAAACCCTGTCTAAACAAACAAACAAAAATTTCTAAAGATTTTCTTAGCAGTCATGTTTGGATAGCTAAAAAGTGCTGAAAAACTAGCCCGTGGTGATTACCAATGTCTAATAAAACAAAACAGAATCTGGAGGGTCCCGTGGCCCCTTTCTTACTGGCTTTCCCACATTGCTCTAGTAGGTATCCCAAAACAGACTGGAGCGTGCAGTACTACGATCTTCTCACCTCAGCCACATTCCCAGCCTTCGGGCATCCTAGTCTCAAAGGCTGACCTACTGCAGGAAACTCTAAGATAACAATGATCAGGTCAGGAAAATTTAGGCAAAAAGTTTCACACCCAAAAATGTGAAATAAGACAAGCCTAAAGCAGCAGGCAGTGGCAAGGACGACAGTGGCCGGAGACTCCTCCGCAGGAGTTTTTCCTTCTACCCAGGCTGTCTAGTCGACGGCGTTTGAGGAAGTGGACCCAATACAGGCAGCTCATTTAGCACTTAGTTAAGTCAGAAATTGAATTTCACACTTTCAAGGGTATAAAAGTTGAGCCGGGCAGTGGCGGTACCCACCGTTAATCCCAGTACTCAGAAGGCAGAGGTAGGTGCCAGCCTGCTCTGCAGAGCAAGTTCTACGACAACCAGCACTACACACAAACCTTGTCTTGAAAAACAAAACAAGCAAACAAAAGGAATCTAAAAGTTGGCAATAGGTTGAAAAAAAAAAAGATTGAGTTAAAAAAAAATGTATGCCCAGGACTAAGTCATCTATAGGCTCTTAATTCTGGTCTTGGATGAGACTCCTGGGCAACTGAGAAGAATGTTTAAATATTATACTCTCCCTGGGGCTTCTGGATCACTCAATACCTGGGCTGTAGCCTCCAGGAACTGTTTAGAGCTGACTGGCTTCCTTGTATCATTCAGGCCTCCATAGAATGAGCAGAGGTCACACTTGAGGCTGGCCTCTCCACGGAACTCCTAGGACAAGCACTGCCTATCTTGGAAACCCTGGCTAATGATCTGGAAATCTGGCAAGCTATCTAGAGATGCAGTTGCGCCTCAATGGAGAAAATACCTCCATAAGAACAGGCTGCAGGTAATCCTGTCAGGCATTTTCTTAATTGTGATTGATGGGGGAGGGCCCAACCCATTGTGAATAGTGCCATCACTGGGCTCGAGGTCCTGCGTCCTATAAGAAAGCAGGCTGAGCAAGCATGGGGAGAAAGCCAGTAAGCAGCACCCTCCTAGGCCTCCGCATCAGCTCCTGCCTCCAGGTTCCTGCCCTGATTTTCTTCAGTGATGGACTGTTTTCCTGGAAGTGTAAGCTTTCGTTTCTGGTATTATGTCACATTGATAGTAATTCTAATGAAGGCAGTGGTCGTGGCCACTCTGTTTTCTATAAGGCAGTTTGTATCTCAGCTTAAATGAGCTCCTGGAAATCCCGTCATTTGTGAGAAGACAGTCTGACTTGGTGTATACCACCTGCAGTGCAAATGAAACCCCCCCCCCCGGCCACACACATGAAATACCTCTATTTTCTATGATTATATTACAAATGCTCTATTTCAGTATTGGCCCCTTCTCCATTCCTTGGCTAAATATAGGTGTTTAATGTTTAGAAAGATAGAATGAATGTCTGCCTATCTATATTTTCTGTGCCTGCTACAGTGGAAGGCAATACAAACTTACCTGATAAGTAAATATACAAGTTTAAGGATAATTTTGAAAATATTCCTTAAAATTTTCAAAAATATTTCTTTGATGCTCAGAATAATATCATCCAATCACCATATTATAGCCAGAGGGAAGAAAATGGGAAGGTTTCAGACCAATTAGAGAGATGGGGAAGAAATGCAAACAAAACCTAACAAGTCCTGGCGCGGGGTAGATTCTGCCCAGTGCAGCTGCCTACTAGGACCAGGGACCCGGTAAACCATGAAGCTCAAGCCCACGTTCGGGGAAGAGACTCCATGGCCCACCTCTCCTAGACTGGAGGGATGTGCAGGGATGAGGGGCCACCGCTGCGAGCTGACGGTGGTGCCAGCGATGACGCACAGCCTAACACCTATAGGTCACGTTAAACCAACCAGGGAGCTGCCTTTCTCATCTTCCGTTGCTATTGCTGTCATGGTTATACTGTTATATAGTTATAGTGTTACAGTTGTACTGTGCCTGTTGTATGTACATGAGCGCACCACGCGTTAGGTAACGCTACTGTGTGTTAGGTAGTGTATGTGTGAAGGCCAAAGGTGACTGCAGGAGTCTTCCTCCAGCATTCTCTACCTTGTTTTTTGAGACACAGTCTCTCACTGGGCTTGGAGTCGGCTGTTTTGGTGAGACCCCTTGAATCCTCCTGTTTCTGCATTCCTCCCTCAGCACTGAGCTTACAGGACTATGTTGCCGTGCCCAGGTTTTATATGGGTGCTGGGGATCTGAACTCAGGACCTGATGCTTGCACAGCAGGCACTTTAGTCCTAACCCGGGGCACTGTCTTCCACAGACACATTTTCTTTTCTTTGGTTACACTACATGTAGGAAATAAACCGGAGACACGCTAAACATTCTGTTCTCCGGGAAGAAAATGTTCACATACTTCCTTACACTTCAGGAGTAAAGGTAACTGGGAGCAAATACAGGTTTTCCCCCATGGCAGAGCTGTCACTTCCTCTGAGACCCACTCCTTAGAAATCAGTCTAGTCTGTACAATGCGGTATCCATTTAGGTGGAAAACAAGAGAATGGAAGTGTGAGGCAACTATCCGTTAGATAGCTCATATTCAGGCGTTCTGCAGTGCGTCTATGCTTCAAGTGACAAGTACATAATGTAAGTATATGACTTGTTTGTTAACTTAAAAATAAATGCAAACAGAAGACACTAAGGCAGATTTACACTCAGAAGAAATCTTGCTTAGAACCAAAATAAATATGGGTTTAAAAGTAGCTCTTGAGATACTGAAAACAAACAAACGAACAACCAAAAAACAACCAAAACCCAAAAAAACAAAAACAGCAGCATTGTAACACTATCAGCAATTCAGCAATGTTTAACTCCTGGTAAGCTGTACGAAAAACATTCCCCTAAGCTTCAACGTTAGGAAATCTACCAAAAACAGGTGCCAAAGAGTGCCAAATAAAATCATGCATTTAATTTTATTATTCTAAGAAGGGGAACCACTATATGTAGTGCCCACAGTCCTCAGACCTGGAGCTGGTGTTGGGTGACAATGGATAACAAGTCCCTTAACAGCTTTGGGCCTTAATTTTCTCATGTGTAAACAATGAGCTAGCTAGGCAATCTTTCAGCACTGTTCAGCTCTTAAAAATACTGCCTAATTACTGTTTTCGAAAATAGCCATGCTATAATTTTAATTCTATATTGTTTTCTTCTCTTTTAAGGATTTACTCAGAGGATATGATCAAAATGAATGAAAAAACAAAAAACAAACAAACAAACAAAAAAAACCCAGAGGGTTCCCATGACCAACCACTCCGTTGTTCATCAAGTCGGCAACAAGGTTTAGAAATGAACTGGTTTACAAACATGCTTCGGGAGGGGCGCAAATTTCTCCTATTTCCCTATTCCCACCGTTCTGTCTCTACTTACTTTCATTTCCTCATAATCTCTTAAGGTCTTTCTCATATGCACATCTTTTTGAACTCGAAGCACAAGAGCAATGCTCCTTTAGGCTCTAGACACAATGAGGAGAAAGTGAACTTACCTTTCCAGGTAATCCAAATGCAAAGAGTCCAAGATCTTCATAAGACGTCACTGCTGTTATGGGAAAGCACAACTGTTACTCTACACAAACTGTTCAGGAAGGTTATTTTACTCTTCCAAGGTAGGCCTGGTGCCATTTCCAGCTTCAGCCAATCAGGACTAGCTGTAGCCTGGAGCTCTGACCTCCTGGAATTAAGGTAAAGGTAGGAAAGAGGGCTGAGGTCACTTGGTTGGTTCCTAGAAGGCCTTTGGGAATTATTTCTTTAAAATATTAATTTTCACTCCAATTGTAACCCACATGCCTAAGATTTAGATGTTTTTGTAGAAGGTCTCTTTAACAGTGATGGCTTATTCCTTTCAGAAAAATTAAAATCACCAAGGGGGCTGTGGAGACCGGCCAGTGGTTAAAAGCCCCAATTTCAGTCACAGCACCCACATGGGGGCTCACAACTATCTGTAAGCCCAGGTTCAGGAGATCTGGTGACCTCTTCCGGCCTCTGGGGGAACGTACGACGCAAAGATACGTATGCAGGCAGAACGCCCATATGCATCAAGTTTTGTCTTTAAGATTAAAAAATTCACCAAGCGTGAGGTTTAGGCCAGCCTGGTCTACAAAGCAAGTCCAGGACAGCCAAGGCTATACAGAGAAACCCCGTCTTGAACACAAAAAGTATAGAATACTACTACTACTAATAATAAATAATAATGATAAATAAAGATAAAAACACCAAGGATTCATTTTATTATGCTTCTCTAGTGTATCTCATGTTCTGATTTTGTTTCTCAAATGCACATATTAATGGTTATTTTCCATTTTAACTAAGTTTCTAATTAATTAATTGGTAAGATAACCAATACCAGCACACTAATATCATAATTAACTAAGAGCCATTTATCTACTTCTCTGACAGCTGTCAGCTGTGTAAGCCGCTAAGGGTAGGCATGTGTTAGTCTTAAATATTCTGAAATACCAAAAGGGGCAAGAGCATTCAGTGTTAGCCCTGAGGTCTAGGGGCTGGGGGTCTACCCGCCTTACACTCATGGACAGGTGACTAAACCTAGATCAGCTATACTAACTTTGGGGGGAACTGTTAAAGACGCATGCTCCATAAAGCCAGAGCCTGCCACAACAGGCAGGCATTAGCAGTCCAGGCTATACAGCCCATATTAATTCAATGGCCCAAGTTTTTGAGAACACCCTGTTTTCTTGTACCAGACTTGTGTACTTGCAGATACACGATCCAAATAGAAAATTTCACTGGCAAGAATTTCTAAACACCGGACACATAGTTCAATGAGGTACAATAGTTGTGCTTTCAGGGACATTTGCCTTTCCAAGTGCTTAGGGTGATGATAATGTGTTCACAATGGAAAAAGAACCTTCATCCTATAATTAGGGGGCACACGCTTTCCTTTTTCATGTAAAAATGTTAAATCACATTCTCATTTCCTTATGTCCAAGGATGGTTATTAAAAACAGACGAAAAGTTGAAAGGCTTGTAGAAGAGCCTCAGTATGCTCTTAACCCTGCACAGCTCTGGGCTGTGACCAGTGCTGCCGCTGTTTGTGCGGCTCTGCAGTCTTGGAAGTGCGGAAGCCCACAGCACTTACACCTTGGAGAAGCAGGCTGGAGGACACCAAGGCATGGGACAGCAATGCAAACTTCCTGTTGGTCACAGATGTGGTTCATTCCGTAAAGCCAGTTTTACTGCATCTCTTAGGACACATTTGGGCTTCCTTTCAACTGCCACTTGGGAACGAAACCAAAATCTTTTTTATAGTTTCATAATGAAGGACATTTAGGTACATAAAATAAGTATTCTAAAAATCATAGGAGGTTTTTACATACAGTAACTATGGAACCAGGAAGAAAACGGTGAGATACTGAATAATAAAAAGGTATTAACAATTAACAAAATCTTTAGTTTAATCTATTATCAAAGTTCATCAAGGGACTTGGAAACTTTTTTGAGTGATATCTCTATATTTAAGAATTACATTCTGCTAAACATAGCACACACGTACAATCTAGCACTGGACTTAGAAGACATATTTTTATATGGGCAGGCCATATATGAAGGTCACACAAGCTTAGAGAAGCTCATTCATGGTCAGGTGTGTCTTGTTTTGGGACAGCCTCTTTCTCTCAACCCTTCTGCTTCAGATCTATATTTAAAATGCCATTTAATAAACTCTAACTTGGACTCGTACTGGCTGTACAGAAATTATTTTCTGCGGTGAGGCCAGAGACCCAGTTTTACCTGAGGTGTGGCCCCACAGACATTAAGAAAACTGTGGGTGACAGCCTTGCTGCTGGCAGGATTACAGGAATGCATGCACCATTACTCTAGACTTCCATTATTGCTTAAGAAAAACAGTTCTATGCTGACAGGGTTTGTTTTTTTCTTTTTTTTTTATCACTTTATAAAAATTACCTGACCTAAATGCCTTACTATTTAAAAAAAAAAAAAACAAATTCCTGATTTTCTAATAATAAATATCCTCCCGAGTCTCTTGGACTTTTCCCCTTTAGTTATTTTCTATTCAGAGGTAATGGTAACTCATAAGCAATCACATTCATGTCTGCCATCTTTATCAGCGATTTCCACATTTATATCACATATGAGATACAGCATGTGAGTTTAAGCATATTCAATTAATTCAGTAACATTCCACAAATATGCTATACTATAATCTATATAAACTTCAGCTGAATTAAATAGAATTAAACAGAATAATTACAGTGATGAATACAATGAGATCAATTTACAGAGACTAAGTGAGAATACAACTGACAATGTAGAGACTACAGGGATATGGGCAGCAAAACTGAGTTTTTATGGTTCTTCTGCATTCCTGCGATAATGCATTTTTGTGATAATATAAGCATTTGAAGTACATTGTTTCAAAGTTTATTCTCTACCTTAAGATGACTTCTACTTAAATTATATCTCATATTTCCTATGATATATTAATCTTTCCCTTGGACTAAGTTCTTTTGGAACCAAAATTCTTCTCTTCTCATACATAAAATAGTTTAATATCTCATTAGTTCACTCACAATATCATAGATATATGAAAGGAGCATATGCACTTGTTAATTTGAACAAATCTAACATGGCAACTGAAAAATGTCACTAGACCATGTTTTAAAATGAAAATAAATTTGGGTGGTGTTAAAATGAAAGAAAGAAAGAAAGAAAGAAAGAAAGAAAGAAAGAAAGAAAGAAAGAAAGAAGGAAAGAAAGAAGGAAGGAAACATTTCTTCTAAGAACTTAAACTGATAAGGTTTTCCAGTGTTACAAATGGGACTACATCAAATATTGCTTTTCAAACTACCTATTTTGTATTTGTTTCTCAGTATGTAAGCAGACATGTGTTTACTTCATTTTTGTATTGGGTATTGGATTCAAGACTGTTTTATGCTAGATACATGCTCTACCACTGAGCCTTATTTTGTATTTAGATACAAATATTAAATGTTTATATAAATGTGGGAAATACATATTGATTGCATAGCTGGTAAATGGGAACAGCAAACGCCAATAAGAAAAAAAAATCACACTGAAAAACTCTAAAGGTAACAGGTATTTCAATATCAAATTCAGACACTAAGCATATAGTCTAAATTTTAAAAGTTAAAGTTCAAGCATTGCTAGTGCCAGAAAACACAGTGAACCAACCTAACTGCTTGGTGAGGACCATTTTAGCTTATGACACTTTTGCAATCTCCAACTTGCCCTCTGGTTCTAGTATTCCTTCAGTCTCATAAAAATATCTCTACATACCACAAAGTCCCAAACTCACAGAGGAAAAGCATGGGGCTTTTAAATGAAGACCAAATCCAGTACTGCGGCCCTAACCCTAGCTTTCCCGTCAGCATGTCTGGGTCCCTGCTCAGTTCTGCCGCTGTCATCATATCTCTTTTATGTTGCAAAAATTAGAAGCACTTTCCCCTGCCTGAGACATCATGAAGATGAGTAATGGCTCCTGGCTTTGCTTTGAGGCTTTGCTAAAATGAAATGTGAACACCGCCAGCCAAGTGCATTCTTCCACATCTCAGCATATGAACCAAAGCAGCACTTGTGAAACCGTTTTCAAGTTCCGCTCTGTCTCATGGCTGTTTCTTTAAATGCTGGTGAAAGTAAAAAACTGGACTGATGGTTGGAACACAATTTGAACAACAAACCTTAAGAATATTTAAAACATTTGACTGTAGAGCTTTTGTATTAGGAGATAAGAATAAAGCCAGGGAACTCATTAGATATTTAATCATGCCACAATTTACACTGGGAAAACAGGGCTAACCTAAATGTGCCACAAGGTGGTTAAGTAAATTATGGTAGGGATACCTAATAGAAAAATACAACCTTGAAAGCCCATTGATAACAACAAGAAAATGCCAATATTATTTTAAGTGAAAAAAAAATCCTTCAAATATAATCTATGAAGTAGACACATAAATGGTAAATAAGTCTGTAGTCATTTTTCTTTCGCTTTCTGTATTTTTGAAGAAATGGGTTGTTCAAATATGATGACTTGAGCAGCAAATGAGACAGTTTATTGTTAAGAACCGCAGTGCCAAGGGTACTGGCACAGGCCTGTGATCCCAACTACTGGGAGGCTGAGGCAGGAGCCCACTTGAGTTTGGGAATCTGAAAGCACCCGCAGCACAGCAGGACCCCAGGCTGCTTCATCATAACAAAACAGGCAATAAAGAGCTCCGCCTCCTCTACAAAACTGAGTGCTTGCAGTTAAGCTACATTTTTACTTTTTATTTTCCTACTGCTAAGTAATTTGATGCTTGATGTATTAGCAAGGAATTTTGAGGGGGTTGTTTTTTGTTTGTTTGTTGGCTCCTTCATATGTTTTACACCATTATGAAGATTTAGAAGGTGTTCCAGAGACACAAAAATACAATGTTGATAACCAGCGACAGCAGTGGCATATTCCTACAAAATAGGAATTACATTAATTATTTAATTAATGCAGTCTTCTACAAGTAGCACTTAGAGCAAACCTTTCTACTAGCTGAAGCAATAGCCAGCAGCATA